GCACATAGAGTTATTATTGTGAATAATATTCTAATTTCTTTTATATTCTTTTTAGCTATATGGATTAGTTAATAAAGGCTATTTAAAAAATTTAATCTATGATTTAAATTTTTATATAGAAAAATAGATTAATATTCAAGATAGAAATTTTTTTATTTTTTTTTTTATTTTTTTGTAAGGATTGTATAAAAGGTGGTATTAGAATCATTGAAATAAAAAAGCTACCAAAAAACTCTTATTCAAATGGTCATTAGTGGCTCTTCAATCAAGTTAAGTAAATATTCAAAATTTTCTTAGATTTATAATATTAAATATTAAACCCACTAGGTGTAGGACTTTAGTACATGATTTGGTTTTGTTAATTATTGCATATCATAAATGAAATACAAGATGTAAAACATGAAACAAAATTTAAAATATTTGGATATATGTTTGCAAGTTTTTTTGATTTAACTTTGTCACAAATATCAATATTAACATGGGTAATTAGGAAAATAAGAGGAGTTAGGTAGAATTACATAAAAATATATTCATTAAATAGTCTCTTAGTGCGAAGCTTCTTTCAGGCTTGATAGATTCAAATTTGACTTTACAAATATTTTTAGGTAATTAGTAGGTTAAAAACTTAACTAACAAGTTGGCCTCATGTTGTACATATTGAAAACTTATCTTGCAAGTTAGACATGTATTAAATTGCCTATAGAACAACACTATATAGCTTTTTTATTAAATATTGTAATGGAGGTAAGAGAAAGGCCATTTTCACTCTTACCAATGTTTTTCTTGCTTCTAGTCTAATTTTAAGAATCTCTAGTACTCTTATTTTAGATAGTAGACACTTTAGTTCCATCTTAAATATGTATTATTATTATTATTATCTCTTCTTTTTGATATACATATTATTTTATTTATTTATATTCTTTAAGTTCTCGTCATTGACAAATCTTCCTATTTCTTTTTCTAATATATGGAATTACTTCTTTTAATCAAATCTTTAACTATTTTTAATTAAAATTCATGTAAAATCCTATTAAGTTACAATTTTCCATTCAAATAGTTTTTAATGTCTTAAAAACCTTTTTAAGATGCCCATGAACCTTCTCACTATCAAAAATAAGAACTTGAAGGGAAATTTTAAAAATATATATATATCAAAGAAGTACTTCTTTTATATACTTCTACCTATTTCCTCTTATCCTCTTAATTACTAATCTTAATATTAATATTTGTGACACTCACTATTAAAAAATAAATATCTACATATAATAATTTATTCTTATATCTTTATTTGGATTTACTTCCTATTTAGTTTTTAATCTTTTAAAAATACACGCTATAATAAAAAAAAAATCTTTCATAAACCTAGTAATTGGATTTGATTTTTTAATTTTAAATAGAACATCTTCCAAAAGTAGTATTTCAACTCCATTTAGAATATGTTGGTGCTAAAGAAAACAAATGGTTTGATCTAACTTGTTCTATTAAAATATGTATATTTTTAATAATAATTCAATCTAAAATACTTAACTAAGATATATATATATATATATATATATAGATATATATATATATACATACATAACTCTTTTTAGAATAAAACTTGAAAGCTAATAAAAATAAAGTAGCAAGTTTCTTGAAAATTATTAGACTTGTTTCAAAAATAAAACCAACAAAAAAAGATGCTTTTAGTATTGATTTCTTTCAAAGCCTAGCTAGTGAACTGACTTTTGATTGTTTATCATATTTTTAGATTATTAGAGAAGATTTTTTGATATTTTTTTTCAAACTTAGCAAAAAGTAATTCCAAAGAAATAGCTCTACTATTAATTTAATAGTCTACAAACGAAATTTTTTCTTGAGACATGAATTTTTATTTTATTAAAAAGATATTTGATCTAATTTTTATTCTTCTAAAGAAACTATTTTCATTTAGCTTATATGGTACAAATAAGTAGCAATTAATACTTAGAGGAAAAATATCAATTCAAATGATGATATTCACTATAATATATATCAACTCCAAATGCTTAAATCTAGTCTTCATCAATTTTGGGATTGTCATTAAGCTCCTTATATCTAAAATTAGATCACCTCTCTTTCATATAAATTGATATTTAATTTTAGAATTAGAATATTTATATATCATTTACTTTGCCACTAGCTATTTTTTTCAATCTCTTTTTTTAGATGAAATCTTTTTGTAAGATCTTGTTGTGATTAAGGAATCTTTGTCAATAGATTATTTAGACTTTAAGAAAACAAATTTGTCTTTGAAAATAAACTATAGTATATACTCCCAACTAGAAGCATGTTTTAAAAAAGTCTTATTAAATATAATAAAAACTTATTAGATATTTATCAAAACTTATAACATGAGTCTTTTTTTTTCAAGAAATGAGATAATTTATGGATAGCAAAATAAATACATGGATCTAAAAATAAAAGATAATTAAATAAAATATTAGAATTTTTTAATACAACATAATCATATATGAAAGTATAAATGAGCTTTAGTAGCTCTTTTGCGTTTTTAGCACTTCTTATTTTGTCTTTAGATGTAAGAAGTTAAGTAGTTTGTTGTACTTATTTTACTTCATTAATGCAATATATATATATATATATATATATATATATAAGTTTGTGTTAAAAAGAAAAAATATATAATTTCTAATCAAAAATATTATTATTAAGATATATATATATATATATATATGAAGTTTAATTTTTTAATTTTTGTACTATATTTTATTAATAACTTTTTTATAATAAATTAAAAACTAATATTATTATAGCTACATTTAAAAGTATAATTAAAACTAATAATTAATTATTATTAAAGTAACTTAAAAAAACAAAATATAGTAGTTTTGTGATAAAATCAATTTTTATTTTCATTCACTAAGATTAGTTCTTTACATAGTCCTTTATAAGGTTACTAATAAGTTATATAACTTGATTGATTTTATACAAAAGATGTATCTTAAACTTGATCAAATGATATAATTAATTTCTAATTTTTTATTAAAATATATAGAATTATTTTGAAATAATAAATTGTAATCAATAAAAATAATATAAAAATAGAAAGTATAAAAAATTAATTTTATATATATATATATATATATATATATATATATATATATTAATAGAAATTAGAATAACAAGAGCAAAAATGTTATTGTAAACTTTGCTAATGCTACTTATTGTTGTTATTTTTTAATAATTGCATTATCAATCCTACATGTTTTAAATTTATATACAATTTGTAAAACTTAATTAACATTTTTTTTATTAGTTGTTGTCTACTACATTATAAATTATAAATTATAAATTTTTATTATTATTATCTATCTCTTTAAACATTGTTTGTAAGATTTTCTGTGTATGTACCTCTCTACAAGCTTTGAAGTTTATAAAAATGTCAAAAAGAAATAAACTAAAACTAAATATGTAATTTAATAATTAATGTAAGTTTCTTAAATGTTTTATACATGCATTAGAAAAGTAAGATTTCCAATAAAGTAGCCTGTAGAATGTCTTTCTGGGCTTTTTCTTTATGAAAAATTGAAGTGTTTATGTTTAATTATTTTGATTTTCTTTTAGAATTATTTTAAATTTGAGAATTCATTCATTGTTTTTGCAGTAACTTTAAGATCTTCTTAAGGCTATATTGGTATAAAATGTTGAGTGATACCATTTCTGAAACACACACACACACACATATATATATATATATATATATACATCCAAGTTTTCACATATACAACAACCTTTGCTACAGGCAGTCAGAAAAAGGGAAAAATAAAATTGGAATATAACAAAAACAATCAAAATAAACCATTATATATATATATATATATATATATATATAGCAATCAATTAAACAATTATACAAATAAACCAACACATATAATATAAATACATACATACAAGAAGACTTTTTGAAAAGTTTCGAGTATGAGCGGCATGAAAACATTATGCACATTCACACACACAAAATCATCAAAGCAACGTCAGCGGTGGGTGTAGAAGTTGCAGAAGAATATTGTTTCTATTCTTCCCATACAGCAATAATTGTTTATTGCCCCTAAAGACCTTTTGTTTCTACTACAGTCTTGTTGTATTCCACCTCACTGTGCTTCCAATTGCAGACCAAATCTCTCGCTTGCTTGCTTTTCCCCAGCCACCATCAAGCTGCAGCGTGCTAGCGCCCCGGCCACCGTTGATCTTGACTTCTACTTGAGTTCTAGCTCATTTTCAAGTTTCGATTTCGAATTGTTTCGAATTTGCACTTGAGCTCGACGATGGCGGAATATCGTGGCCATGATATGAAGCAGCAGCACAACTGCAGCGTTGTTGTTGTTGGTGGTGGTGTTGTCTGTGCTGCGGTGTGGCAGGAGGATCTCAGAGCCTGCACTGGGCTGCACTGTCATAAAGCCGCAGCACTGTGGCCCCTCCCTCCCTCGTCGGGTTCGTCCACCCGCCACCTTTCCCCTCCCCACTTGGCTCTATCGCCACTGCACAAGCCCTTCTTGATAAGTCTAAGTATTTTTAGTTTGGTGAGAGGTCCCCTTGTGGGTTGCGTCTGCGGACTGATTTCTTGTCAGATCAGTGCATGGCCCTTGTACGATGCCTCATCTTTTGGTTTCAACATGCCGTGCGATGTCCTCCTCTTCATGTGCCTGGACATGATCAAGGTGAGGTGCTGATTTGTGTCTTCATGGGATTGCTTGAACCGTCGTACGTTCCAGACTCTGGGCTGCAGCTTTCTCTGAATTCAAGCACCGAGTGGAATCCAGCGTTACTTGTTTCGTTCGTGCAAGACTATTAATTCTGCAGGTGCTGTGGTACTCTGTATGTGAGCTTGATATTAAGTTCCAGGAATCTTGGTATGGTGACTTGATGATAAGATGCCTTTTCGGTGCTTTTTTCGATTGCTTCAGCTACCTGATCCCATCCAGCTCCGTATCGTGTAATTTTTGGATACTTCACCGGTAGTTGTCTTGTGCCTTCGGCCGGCAGAGAGACAATGACGCTGTATTGGCTTTAGAATGCAAATTATTCGTGCTGAAATGTGTGCGCGGGGTTGGAGTTTAATGTAAGGGAAAGTGGAGCAGTGAGTTGTAGCCAGTGGGATAATGTCCATAAATACCAGTAGATTTTTAATTTGATTTTGGGTTCGAATGTTTGAGACGATGCCGCAGTGGGTTGGGTCACGGTTTTTCACACCCAAGAGAGCTTATTCAAGTCGGGTTTCCGACAATATTACCTGAGTTGAGCTTTCGTTTCCAGAGCAGCTCCCAGAAACTCACACACCCGTAATTTTCGGTCGTAGATATGGTCAGATAAGAAACACTTGAAGAGAAAGTGCGAGATTTTAAATGCTTAGACAAAAATAATACCACCGATCGCAGAGAAATTTCTTGCTTGGAGAATTTCTTGTCTTGTTCGACTTGAAACATCTGCTCCGATAGGTGTTCCGCTCGACAGCAGTTCCTCTGTTCAGTTGTGTAGCTTGTTACATACAGACAGAGAACCCCAATGAACTGAGCGTTCTTTCATTCTGCTACACTGTTGTGCTGTAGTACTGAGAATGTCGCTTTAGGAATGCGTTTCTAAGTCACTTCAGCAGCGTCTACTTTCAGAACTTTACACACTCGCTTCTTGATTTCTGCTGTGATAGTCGGCACAAGTCTGCACATATTCTTCCCGCTGCATCTAATTTCAGACAGTTTCTTGGTTCGTATGGTTCGCCGAGTAGGTGGCGTTTGCTTAGACCCCAAGTACGTTCCTGTTTCTTGGGTAACTAGGACTTCACGGTGAGTGGTTTATCGATCACAACCAGAGCCTTTATAGGTTGTTCTAATAGTTGATTCTGAAAGCTTAGAACTATCTTGTTCATCTACTCACGGATAGTTTCGAGGATGGAAAAAGGTAGTCGTAGATTTTCTTTCGCCTGGGAATTAAACTTAGAAGCGAAAACATCCTTAAAGATGGTTTGTTAACTGTTAAATTACGTGCTTGTGATCATTCGAGATTGCTGCAGTTTGTGAGAAACTAGATAAGTTCATGGTATGAGTTTTAACTTTTCTTTCAAGCACTTGGAATTTCATTTTAAAAGCAAATTCAGTTGATGATGGGTTGCCCGATTACAGGGTTACCAGGATGTCTGGGTGGTGTCAGTTCAGGATTCCGAGAAGAAGCAAGCATATTATTGAACCAAAGATTTTAAACTCGTTCTATGGCCTAAGTACTGCTATATTTCTTAGATCTCATACAGTCGCCAGCTGACGTTGAGGTAGACAACCTCCGTGTTGTCATGGCCTTTTCTCAATAATAGTGAATTGATAACACCCGCTCCTACCATATAAAGTTGATGAGTATTTAAGTGGCTGTTCTGATTTATCAGCTGATTTTTCAAAGCTATTTCGTAAATCTTGTAAGGGAAAGGTAAACCCTTACTTGCACAAGCCTCGTGTACTCAATCTCCTGGCATACTTGACTGATTGATGTAGGCTCTAAACAAGTGATCAGCAATGGAGAAGGAGAGTGATCCATCTCCTTTAGCAGAATCACATTTGAATCCAACCCAAGAGCAAGCTCAGGCTGCTGGTGGCGCTTCTACTTCATATTCTGGCAAGCTGCCCGTGATGACCACACCCTCGAATCTGCCCGATCGACCAAATAAAATCGATGCAGGTCCTATGGAGAGCTTGGGGAAAAATGTGAAGGACGAGACACAGTATGCACCATCAGCTGAATCGAAATTAAACTGGTACATTGTAAAATTAACTCTTGCAGCAGGTATTGGTGGCCTACTCTTTGGCTATGACACAGGTAATAAAATCCTTCGTATTCAGTAGCAAGTTTTAATAACCACGTTATTTGTTCTTGCAAATCTCTATCTAATTCAGGTTCTAGTATTTGATCGCGATGGGAGGTTTTACCAATTGGATCAATTTTTGGTGTGTACGGCAATTAGTCAGGATTGGAGACAGTCTTGAACGATGCTCTCGATTACTTTTGTATTTTGAGAATGATGGTAGCTTTTGGTACTGGCATTTCAGGTGTAATTTCAGGAGCCCTGCTGTACATTCGCGATGATTTCCCGGATGTCGAAAAAAGCACAGTTCTACAGGTTCTCTTCAAAAATATTGACATAGATTCCACAAGAAGCCTTCCTTTGTCAGCACAAGATCATCCTACAAGATGGTCTTCTTCAGTTGTGTCCGTCGATATCGGTATGTGTGATCAACAATGTGACACTAAAATGCAGGAAACTATCGTGAGCATGGCGGTAGCGGGAGCTATAATTGGTGCTGCCTACGGAGGTCGCATTAACGACAAATTCGGTCGCAAACCAGCGATATTAGCTGCAGATACCGTATTTGCAATTGGGGCTGTTTTCATGGCAGCTGCACCGAATGTGGCCATGCTCATTGCAGGCCGCATATTAGTAGGTTTAGGTGTGGGTGTGGCTTCCATGACTGCCCCCCTCTACATTGCTGAAGCTTCTCCTGCACAGATTCGTGGTGCTCTAGTTACCTTGAATGTACTCTTCATTACTGGCGGACAATTTCTCTCCTACCTTATCAACCTCGCCTTCACAAAGGTCAGGGCTATGTTGAAAATAACTGCAATTGAAAATGCCACCGATTTAACTGAAAAGAACAGTTGCGCTAGATGTTGCTTTTACTTGAGAGATCATTTTTAGATCTATGCTTGACACATGTGTTCCAGACACCAGGAACGTGGCGGTGGATGCTGGGTGTGGCTGGAATTCCTGCAGTACTTCAAGGTGTTCTGATGATGCTTTTACCGGAATCTCCACGATGGCTATTTCGACAGGTTAGTGTATTCCCATGCTTTATTTACCCTTAATAGTATCTTGTTCGCTCCACAACACGTCCTGAAAGACGGTATGTTGTGATTATTGCTAATTTTCTAATGTTTTCGAAATGTGACTATTCCACCAGAACTTTGAATCAAATTCTGCAACTTCTCGTATTTGGTTTCAGGAAAGACGAGGGGAAGCAATCGACGTGTTGCGAAAAATATACCCAAAACCTGAGGACTTGCAACAAGAAGTGGAAGAGCTGGAAGCTGCTGTTTCAGCTGATGTAGAAAGGCCGGTTTCATCCATACGAGCAATATGGCAATTATTCTCTCACAAACCAACTCGGCTAGCGCTCACTGCAGGAGTTGGTCTGCAGGTAGATCTACATAGTTGTTCTTGGAATTTTTGTCTACTTACGGATTGATAAAACACATTACGAATTCTTCCTCGTGCATATTATGTGGTGCATGACATCCTCTCAAATTGGCTCATTTCGCAAACAACGATTTTTCACCATAGGTGACAGGAAATCTGGGAGGGTTTCTTAGCACCAACATAAGGTTTCAACTTTGAACAGTTGTGAACGTCTGAACTTGTGTTTACTGAAATAACTTATCTTTCAGGTATTTCAGCAACTCGTTGGCATCAATACAGTAATGTACTACAGCCCATCTATCGTTGAGCTCTCAGGCTTCGCATCCCACCAGATGGCACTTCTCCTCTCTCTCATTGTGTCCGGTTTAAATGCGATTGGAACAATTGCTGGTAAGTGTAGATTCCCTCGTGAACTGAATGACATCTGGACCGGCCAGCATAATACTAAAGTCTTTCCCATTAGTGTCCCAACAGGTGGAAATTTCTAGACGGAATCTTTAAGACAATGCTTGTTCACCATCTTGTCTGGATAGGAAATATATGTTGTATATTCTTTATGTTGTACTTTTAGTGCATAATCGATATATTTTCGTGGTAGTGACTGCATCATGATTACATATGCAAAACAAAATTTAAGTTACGTATTCATTGCATACGCTTCAGGGATGGTGGTCATTGACCGCTTCGGAAGGCGTCGGCTACTGTTACTGAGTTTGACTGGGGTTATCATCGCCCTCGCCGTTCTAACTTCAGCCTTTCATGTCGCAGCACATGACTCCCCGTCTGTCAACTTTTCAATGGACAACTCATTCTCTTCCTTAATTTGTACTAAACAGACTGTCGTGTCTAGGAGTCATTGCACAGGGTGCTTACAAGCTGGATGCGGATTTTGTGCTGATTCTAGAGATGAGGTAAAACTTGACCACCTTACTAAAGTCTTGTTCACACTTCTTTTATGTGAAAATCTTGTGATTCATGCAAATTATACTGATGAATATTTCCTGTTTCATCACAGAATCTGCCAGGCATGTGCTTGGTGTTAAATAAGACAGTTGGGGATCTTTGTGGTGAAAATACTTGGTTTACCAAAGGCTGTCCCAGTCATTATGGATGGTTAGCCCTCGGGGGACTTGCCTTGTATATAATTACATTCTCCCCCGGCATGGGCCCTGTTCCATGGGCTATTAACTCTGAGATTTATCCACTTAAATATCGAGGTCTTTGCGGGGGAATTGCAGCAACGGCCAACTGGGTTGCCAATCTAGTCATCACGCAATCATTTCTGTCGCTTGTCAAAGGCATCGGTACATCAATGACGTTTTTATTCTTTGGGTGCATCACTGTTGTTGCAATTCTTTTTGTTCTTTGGTTTGTGCCTGAGACGAAAGGATTATCATTTCAAGAAGTGGAGCAAATGTGGGAGAAGAGAGCCAAAGGCCAGAGTAATTGGCGACATGGGTTTGTGGTCAAGGAGCCGGATACAAATTCAAATTTGGGTCAGGCATGAGTAACTTGATCTTCGCCCCCACTCACGTAAGCAGATGATTGATCAAGCGATGGGTTAGCAGCTCGACTCTACCAGACGTCCTCGCAAACTTGGTCTTATTCTTTTCAGTGAAACTAAAAAAAGAGCTTGCTTGGAAGTAAGAACAGTATTGAAGTTTGCCACATGTGTCGTAATAGGTGCCTGTTACAGGCGATTCCGGCAATTCAATTTGACTTAAGGCTGTATGTGCCCCAGAGACCAGCAGTGAGCAAAACAGTACCTTATATTTTTAATATAAAATATCATTATGCTTACATTTTGATGAATCTTTGCTGTCGAATCCTTTGAGTGTAAACGTGTGGAATTAGAAATGCATCCGGTATCCTTAGCCCAGAATACTTCGTAAACTGAAATGGTTAGTCTCTTTGTGATTGAATCTCATGGAAATTTTTCTCATTTTGCGAAACTAGCAAATCGATGTCATGTCATACCCACTTTTCACCAGCTGATGTTAAAAGAGAAAGTTGTATCTGAATTCTAGAAATTTCCCAGATTCCAGCGTATTGAGCAACTAATATATTGATGGAACTATAATAAAGTAACATATCTCTTTGCATCGATACTAAAATTAGCTGCAACTCTAAGGCCATGAAGTGGCTTAAGGACATCGTCACACTTGCTCAACACAACAATTTATTGTTCAGCATTATCCAATAGAATAACAAAAAGAACTATCATAACTAATGAGCTCTATGCATGTGCAAGTTGCCCCTTAGTTTTAGAAATTTTGGACCATCAACCAGGTAACTACCCACTTATACAATTCACCAAGATCTTGGACGTTTCTTCATATTCATGAACTCAATCATCATGTTCCACCCGATGAGAATTCTGCAACGTTCGGCAGCTACTCATGAAACTTAACTGAAGAGCTGGTATCTTTATAGCAATATCGCTCACACGGTTTGGTAATCCGATGCTGTTGAGAAAACTGATGTTTTCTCTTGGGCCATTCTTCTAAATTTTGCTTGGCATTTGTGGCTACACCATGAGCTGCTACTTCGTCATTTCTCAGGTTCTGATCATGACAGAATTGGCTACACTTATGCTTGTGACGTTGCTTGTCAACTCGTTGCCACTTTTCATCTAAATTTGATTGATTGAGAATGAATATTATTAAAGTTTTCTTTGTCCAAGTGTGTTGTGGGTGGTGTCATAGTGATTTACATTTATATACTTAGGGTCACAGTGCTTCTTTCAAAAAAAAATTTCCACCCAATGTTCCTTTACTTTTCACTTCCAAAACACTTGGGTCTTTTATAGAAGCAAATCATGTAGAAAAAATGAAATAATTTTTGTATATTTTTGTATTTTCTACAATGTTTCTAGATAAAAATTTATATGATTTTGTGTATATATTTATATCAAGAAAATTCAATGTGTTTAATATTAAAAAATATATCATAAAATATTGCATTGAAAAATATAAATCAATTAATTAATATTTATGTTCTATTAAATTAAAATATCAAGTAACTGATACAAGAATAATAACTACAACATTAAACTTTATCAATAAACAGTCTTTTAACTTATTACTCAAATTTTAATTATTAGATAAAAATACATATGTTATAACTGATATATATATATATATATATATATATATATATTCTTAATCAACTAGCAACAATACTGAGGAAATGAAAAATGAAAAATGAAAAAAATAATGTCTTACACTCTTCTCTGTAGTTAAACTAAACAATGTTAAAAACTTGATTTTAAGACTGAGAATTAACCTTTATTTTTGTGCATGAAAAGATAGGACTTTTATAATGTATAAAAACCAAGAACCTCATTTAATTGGGCATTGACATTAAGTGTAGAAGCCCATGTGATTTGCAACACCGTACTTTAAGTCTTGCAAACATATCTTACAATTGAATGAAGTAAATAAAGAGTTTTCACAATTGTGACCACCAACAGACAAAATTTAGACTGATTTGAGGCTCTTTGATTTCTTAGTATTGAGTATTTAAAATTTTTGAGAAATGAAAGTGATCACATTTTGGATCTTTTAAAAAAACTTTAAAAAAATCAATAATCACGTTATTTATAGGAACTCAAGACATCTTAATCAGTGAAATAAAACATGTTGAATAAAACTATATGATTTTTATTTTTAAAATTGTAGACCTTTTATTATGATGTACTAAAATTCATATTAATAATTAGATGTGACATTTAAAATACAAATTTTGATAAATAATATTTTCAAATTAAATCTATTCCTCATGTAATCATAACTTGTTATACATCCATTATTTAGTAAGTTTGAAAACCACAAAATAATTGAGATATTATAAATTGAATGATGTTCCACAAAAAAGGAAAAAAAAAAAAAAAAAAAAAAAAAAAAAAGGGATAAAGAAGAGTGATAGTATTGATCAACCTGTAAGTCACAGAAGTTGATGTTGTATTCAAAAAAAAAATCTTTATATATCTGTAGTTTGCCTGAAAGTGATTAATTTTATAAAGAAGATGAAAATCAAATTCCAAGTTATAACAAAACTTTTGTGTGTTAAGAACACTCTCTATGTATCATTTTTTTTTAAACGTTTATATAAATTTTTAATGAAACAAGGTTTGCTCTACATCAAGCCATATCTAAAAAAATAAAATTATTTTATTGGAAAATTCTAGCATTTCCAGATTTTTGTTCAATTTTGTTCAATTTTATTATTCAATAAAATTAATAAAAATTTATGGTATATGAAAAAAAAATCGTGCAATTGAAAGACGATTTAAATTGCATTTTAACCTAAATATGCATCCAAAATTGAATAAAAAAATTAATAATTAATAATCAAGCAATTAAATAGTCTTTTCAATAGATGTATTCATACCCAAAAACCAAAATTTCAAAGAACCCAAACACCAAACTTCAATATTAGTAGCAAATTCTTCAATTCACCACAATAAAATCACATTGTGGCACTAGAGAACCAAATTGTGGAACACAACTACCCTTGATACAAACTCACACAAAGAAGGGGGGTGAAAATAAAGGATGCTATTTATTTATACAAGGAATAAACCATTCACCGACAACTCCAAAAAAATGTGGCGGGAACTTGTGATTGGCCACGACCAAGTCTAAGCTTTGACAACCGAGCTGGGGTGCCAGGTAGACTTCTCATCCATCTATCCATCCATCTAATCCATTTATCAATCTCATCCATCCCAGTCAGCTGAATATTTATCATTCATCCATATCGTGCTTTGCCTTTTCCCTCGGCAACATCCGTTTCAATGGCAGACGAGGAGGAGGAAAAAATAAATGTAATTTTAGTCTGTGCGGTGAAGAAGAAGAGCGAGCGCGATGTGCGTGCATCGGGAATTTCACTGTCGAGGACCTCGTTTCGAGGCTTTCCCTGGAGGTGAATTCTGGGGTCGGGCGGAGGAGGGCAGGGATTGATCCAATCGCAGGTTCAGGTAGTAGCGGTGCCAATGCTCTCGTAGGAATCGCTCAGCCAAATTCGCAGACGAAGCCCAAGTTTTCTTCCGCGACCGATGTCGGTGAATTAGGTCTTTACTCGCCCTGGCGTGCAGATGGGTCGCAGATTGTGCGGTTTCGAGCGAGGTTGTGCACCAAGTTTGTCGGTGTTGCACGCGCACAGGATCCTCAGCTAGCAGAAGCGGTTCTAAGCTTCGCGAAGTTTTGGGGTAGTGAGAACGAACGTATGGCTTGGATGGTGGCCTCCGTTGAACTTGCAAGGTACGTGGTTGACAAGGCTTGGGAATATTTTGAATTTGGGGTCGAGGGCGGGGCGTGACTCAAGACTTGCTCACGCTGACTTTCGGTTTACGAGGTTTAGGTCGGTGGTAGGATGAGGTTCTGGGTCTTGTATATCGCAAGTGATGTTGATCGATCCTTCGCGAACGAACTTTGAGCAGTAATTTAGGACGGTAAGAGGGCTTGCTGTGTTCATGACAGAGGCGGGCTTGGAATCGAATGGTCGCAACATTTTTAGCAGTGTTATTACTTCAATTTTTGTACTTGTTTCGAGTAGCTTCTATTTGAGTGAGCTTTGTTCATTTCTTTGTAGATAACAGTTTTGTGCGGTAAGTAAAGTGTGCAGTGCTGTAGGTATGAGTAGAATGATTCCATCGTATTCTTGATTTCCTGATCACTTCGCTTCTCCACGTTTCCGCCATGCCTTCTCTCGCTGTTCTACAAAATGGATTTACCCAGCACGTTGTCATTGACATAGCAAATATAATCGTCTAGTTCGCTACATTCAAATAAGGAAGAAGAGCCCTCGACAGTTGTCACAGGCCACTAGACAGCAACCATTTCTAACAGTGGAGATTTTAGTATTCCAGGCAGCTGATAGAAATGTGTACCTTGCTGACTAATCCGAGGATAAACTAGCGATTATCTACTGCAACCGAGCCCATCCTAGTTCACTGCATCTCCAGCTAGATCCCCAGGACCCGATCCCCGACACCCCTTAGCACTACCTGAAACTACGTCAAACCAAAACAATGCCAGATCAACAGTTCTCAGAATCGGTTCCTTCATTCCAAGCATGTCTCAGCTGAAATCTACCCATACGCGCTTCACGAGAGGTTCACGAGTTAGATGATAACAAATCATTTCTATACCCAGCACACATTCCCAGATATTGACAACAGCGTTCCCAAACAATAGCCTGATTCACCAATCTGCAATTCGTATGCAGAGGAGTTTGTCGGATTTGATTGTGGGATGCTCATCCAATCTAGACTATACTCTCTTTGGGCACGAACTTATGATGTTGGCTTTCGTTATGATTTGCGCCCTTCGGGTTTATCGTTCCGTAGTTTGATGCCACAGGCTTTTGTTGGTTGTGGATGCCAGAAACGAAAGTGTGAAAGGTCCAGAAGTTTTATAGTGGAACAAGAACATAATGGGCGCCACAGGACCGTCGGGAGGTTTCGACATCCATAATTTCTTCAACAATCCACCTCCGAGCCCATATCCTCCTCCCCAGTACTCATCTCACCCTCCTTATCCCGCTGCTCAATTCCCTCAGAATTCAGGACCTTTTCCCACCAACTCGGGCTCTTTTCCCAGCATGCCTCCTCAGAATTTTCAGTACAGTTCGTCACAACAGCAGCAGGAGCAGACTCAAGTATTCCATCCTTACATGCACTATCAGCAGGAGCATGGACAGCGGCCGTCAAGCTATACCACCGCGCCCTACAACCAGCATCAGCAGCAGCAACAGGTTCAGTTTCCCCCTCCGGGTGCTCTGAACTCCCTCCATGGGAACCCTCCTCTTTCATCTCTTCCTTTGTCTTCTTTGTCTCAAGGCAGTGGCGGCCCAAACCAGGCACCATCCTCTCCTTTGGATGGCGCCCGCCTTATGGCTCTTTTGACAACACATGGCGGAGCTGAGGCTCCTAGCAGCGACGACGGTTCCCTGGTGTCAGGGGTCCAGCAAAGCGGCGGTGAACGACCTCGATCGACTCAGGATGGTAGCCAGGATGTTTCTATCCCTCCACCTGCGCTGGCTCCGGCATTGCCCACAGCACCTCCCGCCCCAGCTGCTCAAATGACTCCCACCGCGTCTGGTAGAGCGTCGAGCGGCAAGCAACCACGCGGTCGGCATTTGTGGGGAGATCACGTCGTGTACGACGTGGATGTTCGTAAACCCGGAGAGGCGCAGCCCCAGTTGGAAGTGAGTCCTATTACAGTTTATGGATCCGATCCACAGCTGGTGGTCGGACGGCAAATTGCGGTGAACAAAAAGTACATATGTTATGGATTGCGGCAAGGGACGATTCGCATCCTGAACATCAACACGGCATTGAGAGCGCTACTTCGAGGCCATACGCAGGTAATCGATGCTCGCGGAAGGAAATGACGGGTGAAGAGATTTGGGCTGAGTTTGCTGTGGACAGCGAGGTTGGTTACAAGCTGGCTGTGAGGTTGTTTTTGTGTTTACGATACTTACAGTTTCATCCGATGATGACAGAGAGTGACGGACATGGCGTTTTTGTCGGAAGATCAGCACCTTCTTGCAAGGTTTGTACTCCGTTCTTGACCCGGTTGTATGTGGTGCACGAGCATGCGGGAGGGGTTTTACGCGGCTTGACGTTGCACATGATGAAATACCGTGTTGTCAGCAAGGTTAGAGGAGCGGAATTGATGACTCCGAGCGAGAAACATCACCGTCCAACTCAACCGCGGCCTATGCAGCTACAGCATGCTGGTCTGCCAGAGTTTGGGAGTCTACGGATGGGCCCCAAAGAGAAGTGGGCTAGCAAATAGACACGCAGTGAGTACAGGAATTGTCGGATTGAGTTCGAGGCTGATCGTTTGTACCGGGTGGTTGTGTGTATTGCAGCGCAAGTGTGGACGGTCGCATTTATGTGCGACGGATTTTGGAGGGACAATCCGCCGAGGGCAGCAAGGTACTCATCACAGAGCAGATATTGCTAGCCATCCAATTCGTCGGGGGCTGGGAATCGTGCCATCCGCGCGTATGCTGGAATCTGCAAACGGAGGTAAATCTTGGGTCTTATTTTGGACGAGAGTCTGCCTGGAGGTGTCGCATGTTTGGGGGCTATTTGTTTCTATGTGGCGTGTAGAAGCTGGGCGATTTGTTTTTAAATATTTCGATCGGCATTCGCGTGCGGTGGAATTCCCGTTGCCCGCTGTATTGGGGAAGAATGGCTTGGGTCGCTCGGGAGTGCTTGTGTAGCGTTTTCGTGGATGTGAACCTGAAGGTGGGATGGCGCGCATGTTCGATGCAGGATGTGTTGGAGGTGGCGATCGGGCCGTATGTCCTGAGCATAGATGTTGGGAAGGTGCAGCAGGCTGCACCTCCAGGGGGGTTTTTGGTGGACCAACCTCTCCAATGTCAGGTGGAGAATCCAGTGGAAGGAGTATGTGTGGTGGGTGGTCACGATGGGACTGTGACGGATTTGGCAGTGCCATCGTTTTCTACCTCCAGGGTGGCATCGGCCTCACAAGATGGCACGGTACGTGGGTATCCTGTCCCACTTTTCGAGGTTCCGAGCACTACCGCAGTGGCTGTTGTTGTGATTTCCGAGGCAGGAGAATTCAGGCGGTATGGCGTGCAATGTGGATTGTACACGCGTGTTGAATGTTGTGCTAACAACGGATTTTGTTGATCGGATAACATGGGTCAGGTGCGCATATGGGGGGACACCAGCGGCATCCCATTGCTGAGTATCATGCCCCATGGTGGAGATGCAGTGTGTGCAGTGGCCTTTTTGTCAGCACCACGGCGTCCTGACCATCATGTTTTGCTCACTGCGGTATACCTCACCCTGCCTTGTCCGTTTCCGTTCAGTTGAAAGCGTCGCAACTTGCGAGTTTAGCATCAGACGATACGGTGAACGTTGTGAAAGCTTGGCGTGGACGTGTTTAGCGTCTAATGAGTGCGGCGAGTGGTCGATGTTCTGGACTAGTTCTTATTTGTGATATCCTGTTTTTATGCGTCATAACCAGGGACCATTGAATAGAGAGTTGAAACTGTGGGCACCCTCGAGTGGTCCGGAGGAGTCACCGTCAAAGGTAGGTACAGGTACAGGAGCGTGGCGCTGCATACAGACGCTGGAGTTTCAGAGCTCGGATGTTGCTGATGGGTATTATGAGGATACGATTTTTAACCAGTTGGTCGTAGCCTCCCGTGCTAGCCTGATTTTGCTGGCAAATGCGAAGAAGAACGCCATATATGCGGTCCACGTGGAATTTGGGCACAACCCAGCGGCTGCACGAATGAACTACCTGGCGGAGTTTTCTGTGAAAATGCCGATTCTGAGCTTGACAGTTGCCGAAGACAGCGTGACGGAGGCTGGAGAAGGCAAGGTTCAGATCTACTGTGTCCAGACACAGGCCATTCAACAGTATGGTCTGGACGTGTCACAGTGTTTGCCGCCCGTGGAGGGCAGCATGACGGAAACTCCAGGAACTCCCGAACGCTCAGTTTTGCCTGGTGCACAGGATTCTGGGCGATCCGATCAAACCGGCGTCCCCGACTTGATAGACATGGGACCTGCATCCGGTGTGAGCACGGGGGCGTCCAGTACACCCAACGTGAGCGTTCCTGCAAGGAACCCAGCTGTGTCTTCCGCTTTCGGAAGTCCAGTGGAAGTTGGTCGGTTGGAGGTGCCATCCGCACATCACGTGGAGAAGAGTATAGCAGTAGACTTCAATGCGTTGTTGCAAAGTTCCACAAAGGCGCAGAATAAGGAAAGCGGGAAAGCTAGTTCGGGGTTCTCATCAAGCGCAGAGCTCCGGACGCAAATGTCCGGCAAAGCCGAGTCGACACCTGCAGGCAATACAAAGCCTCCCACTTCTAGGCGATCGCGATCAAGGAGTCCAACCAGGGCTCCCGATTCGCACCACGTCTCGATGGGGTCTAAGCAGAAGGGAGAGGATATTCAGGAGATGAGACCAGAGGCACCACCTTTGATGCCACCCCTTGATGTGTCGAATCTGGACAGGGCGCAGTCCAATTCAAGCAGCACTTCTGCAGAGGAGGTTTTGGACAGAGTACAGGAGAAGGGCGCTCTTGCAGACAGCGCCAGTGTGAAGTCTTCCAATTCATCGCAGCAAGGAGGTCAGCATCAAGGTCTTCATTTGATAACTCCTTCGGAGTTGATGAACTTGGCAGCCGGGTCTAAGCATGGTGAAGCCTACGGTGCGCCTCTTTCAGTTCCCGGGCAAGAACAAAGTAGTAGGGATGGAAAGGCACCGCTATCCAAGGGTAGTGGCAGTACCGACGGGTTTATTGGCATGGACTCCAACGTGGACATGGAGAAGGAGGTAGTGGAGTCGAAAGTCTCGGTCGTTGAGGATGACATCAGTGGAAAGGAGGTTCTGGTGTCTTCCTTATTGGAGTCTCTAGAGACAACTCAAATGATGGGGAATGATTACGTGGACAAGGAGCCCTCAGTGCCCCAGGATAGCATGGATCGATATGCAGGAGAGAACTCGCAGGTGGAAGAGGGCGAGGTTTCAGAAGATAAGGAGAGACCCTTGATTGGTACGGAGGACGTGAACGACAGGCTGAGGGACCTGAGTTTCAGGGATGGTGGCGGCGAGGCGGCTCTACCCCCTCCTCAGGCAGCAATTGCAAAGGGGAGAAAGAACAAAAATAAGACGAGCGCGGGTGGGATTGGGTCTAGCTCCGTATTATCCTCACAGATGCCAAGCATGATGGCGTCTGGATTAAAGCCAGTAGGCGAAGCCAGCCATGGCATGAATCCGGTTCCAGCGTCGACGCCGACATCAGCAGTAGCACCTGCTCCCACTCCCATCGACCCTGCTTTTCTTGCTCAGGTGGCTTCAATGCAAGAGTCGCTGAACCAGGTATGTGTCTTGTGTTGATCGTTAACGCGGGAGTTATTCGCTCAGTTTATCGGACACCTGGATGGTTTATAGTCTTGCATCTTTTCGTAGCGTTGGAGGAGGGTTCAGCAGTGTGGAGCGCACATGTTAATTTTGACGAGTTGGTGTGGGCTTGCTGCAGTTGGTGAGCATGCAGAAGGAGATCCAGAAGCAGATGACTGTGATGGTGGCTGTGCCTGTTGCGAAGGAGGGCAAACGGATGGAAGGTACGCACGTTTTTGTGGCGGCGCAGGACATTTTGGATTGAGTGTCCTCGTCGGGGGACATCGCTTTCTTCATTTCGATGGGAGATTGAGACGAAGTTGTATTCGTGGGTGAACCGAGTGTGCATGGTTGTGGGGACTTTCAACCTTCAGTTTTTGAGTTCGGGGAGAGGTCAGAGTTCGTACTTGCTGCTATCTGCAGCTTGTATGTTAGTTGCAGTTGCATTGAAAAGTAGAGGTGGTTGTGAACATGCGAGCCTCGGGTTTTGTTTTCAGGGGCGTTAGGGCAGCGGATGGAGAAGGTGTTGAAAGCACATGTGGATGCCATGTGGGCACGGTTGGCGGAGGAGAATGCGCGGAGGGAGAAGCAGGAGCGCGAGAGAGTGCAGCAGGTGACGACGATGCTCACGAATTTTGTGAGCAAAGACATGCCGGTCGCTTTGGAGCGCGGAGTCAAGAAGGAATTCGCCGCGATCGGTCCAGTTGTGGCGCAGGCGGTTCTCCCTCCCCTTCACAAAGCGGTTTCGACAACCGTGGCCGAGTCGTTTCAGGTGGCTATGCTAGAAACCTGATGGTGGGACTTGGTTGTTATGTTTTGTGTGCATCTTGAGCTGTTGCTATTTGTGGTCGTAAGAGTTGCCTTGCGTCCTGTGGTGCATGAGTAGAGTGAGTTCTGAACGTTTGTAGTAGCAGGGCAACGTTATGCTTGTGCGTGAAATGGTGAAGTGAGGAAAACCTGAGAGTCCGTCGAGTTTGAGTTAGGCAGCGCGTTGTAATAGAAGGCTTGGGTGGTGGGGCGGGTTTGTGGACTGTAGGGTTTTACAGAGAAAATGTTGCCCCAGCTGGAGAAATCGGTGGGCGCGAAGCTGGAGGGGACAGTGACGCGGCAGATACAGACCCAGTTTCAAACGATTGGTCGACAAGTTTTGCAGGTGATTGGCCAGCTGTATGACACGCGTGGACAGGGAGACCGAGCAGCTTGTTGGCATAATTTTGGTGTCTTCGTACCATGTGTGACTTTGATGTGTGGTATGACAATGTAGGGTTGGGCTTTGTGTGTTTGCTGCAGGAGGCATTGCGTAGTTGCTTTGAAAGCACAGTACTTCCGGCTTTCGAGCGGACATGCAGAACCATGCTCGACCATGTGGAGTCGTCGTTCCAGCATGGCATGTCGGAGTATACTCAGCATGCTCAGGAGCAACTTCTGTCGTCTCACTCTGATCTTGCTTCCACGTTGAAGGTTTGTCCGAGTCTTCCTTGACGCTGAAAGGGTTTATTCCATTTCAAATTTGGGCAACCGTGAGAATCGCAGTTTCAGAACGAGTTGCAAGTAGCGCAATGAAGGATCGGGGGCTTATGAGTGGCCTTGATTTGACGTTCTGTGCAGGACACCGTGGCATCGGCAACCGTGCTTGCGGACTCGTTGAAGGGCGAATTAGCAGAGGGTCAGAAGAAACTTATGGCACTTGCAGAGAGCGCGAGTGCAAATGCAGCTCGCGCTCTGCCTGCTAACAACCAGATCAATGGCGGCCTTCCTGACAAGGTCCGCATCCATGTACGAACTGAAGTCACGAGGGATAAGACTTGATTGGTGGAGTCCGGGTGTCGTGTTTGGGAGGAAACTTCGTTTTGACACGTTTGGTTTTTCTTACAGGTGCTTTCGTTGCAGCATCTGGAGGAGTCGCTGGATC